ATAGATAAGATATGCTAGTTAACAATTATGATATAATTAGTATTAAATAAGAATTCACGAGCGAATGACTTAGGAAAGTATTTGTTTGAAATAATTTGCTGGGAAATTGGAAAGAATGAATAGGTTTACCATTTAATGCCTATGTCATCCTATGACTTATGTAAATAGTGGCCCAATAGAACTCATCTGTGGATATAATGTAATGGTAAAAATATAAAAAATATCCAATCAATAAATCAAATCCGATATCTATTCGCTTCATATAAAATAGGCATGCTTTCAAAATGACACATGGCGGGGTGGTACCAGAAGGAGGTGGGTATCTTCGGACCCAATTAAGGTTTAATAAAAATATTCACATATGTATTGTTTAGATCAAATTGAATAATCAATTAGCTTTATATTAAAAATTAAACGTTTTCAAATTTTTGATCCTCTTTGGAGAAGGTATTAGAAGAAATATACGGAAAGGTCCTTTCCTCCCATTTGAAGTAGGGTATGATATTGACTTTGTAAACATATCAGGTTGTACAAAATTAATTCGCATGATATAAAAAACTTCATTTTCAATAATATGTTCTGGAAGTACAAGAAGAAGTGGACCGATATCCAAGAAAACACGAAAAAAGTTTCAGTCGGCCTTGTCGACAGATCTTTACCGCCAGTTTATGGTTTGCGGAGGCCAACGGAATTACTACACACTATTTTCATAAATTTGCCATTGACAGTATTCAGCTTTCCAAACATGATTTGGGTTTGATAAATATATCCAACGTTCCATTCGTTTGATATAGAATTAATAAATTTTCAAAATGTTGACATTTTGTGGGGGAGGTACTAGAAGGAATGGACTGATGGGTTCCATCTTCGGACTTGATTTAGCAAAGGTAAAAATATTGTGATATGAAAAGTTTGTACCAAATCGAGCATTCCATTCGAAGGGGTAGACCGATGGGTTCCATCTTCGGACTTAAGCTAGGATTGGTAAAAATATTACGATGCGTAAAGTTTGTGTCAATTCACTTAATACTGGGGAATATCATCTTCGAACTTGATTTACATTTGGAAGACATATCGAGCCATATTCGCCAAAAAAACGTAACCCTCAATTTGAAATTTTATAGGAGAAGGTTTTTTCATAAATTCAGATTTAGTTTCGTTACAAACTAGTTTTGTTTCAAACTATAATTCTAAATTTCAAAATAATAGCTTTATTAAATCTGAATTTATTAAAACAAAACCTTCTCCTGTAAAATTTCAAATTGAGGGTTACGTTTTTTTGGCGAATATGGATCGATATTACGATGAGCAAATTTTGGATGAAATCGGTTATCCTTTCGATAGTAACCAGGGGGTCTAAAACCAATATAGCCTCATTAGCCATAAGCCATGACTTCAACGACCCATGACTTCAACGACTCTTCATGTCGAAATAAAGGTTGTTACCGTACGCCAGGATAACATCACGACTTCCGTGGCAGTAAACTCAACATATATAGTTTACCTGGATGTAGATATGCCCGCATATAATTTTCAATGTTAATTTATTTCGTAGAGAGAAAAAAAAATAATTTCCAATTTTTTGGGTTCAAATATTCAATTAATCGTAATATTTTTCAAATTTTCGTTTATTATATCGGATGGGGATTTAAAATTTCTCGTCTAGGCAGTTTGGAAAATTCGAAATTTTATATTCTAGTTTTACTTTAACTATAGGTTAGGTTAAGGCATGTACGGCTGCCGTTTACAGCCGTTCTCTAAGATATATTTGTCCATTGTGCTCATCCTTGATACTTGAAAAGAATGTGGAAAAGAGGAAAGATAGTGGAAATTTATAGAGTGTAGAAAACCTAACAAAGCTTAGGATATGCATACCGGATCTAGCATACCGGAATAGACACCAAGCTATTTCGGTATGCTAGATCCGAATGCTAGATCGGTATGCTAGATTAAATCTGAATTTATTAAAACAAAACCTTCTCCTGTAAAATTTCAAATTGAGGGTTACGTTTTTTTGGCGAATATGGCTCGATATTACGATGAGCAAATTTTGGATGAAATCGGTTATCCTTTCGATAGTAACCAGGGGGTCTAAAACCAATATAGCCTCATTAGCCATAAGCCATGACTTCAACGACCCATGACTTCAACGACTCTTCATGCCGAAATAAAGGTTGTTACCGTACGCCAGGATAACATCACGACTTCCGTGGCAGTAAACTCAACATATATAGTTTACCTGGATGTAGATATGCCCGCATATAATTTTCAATGTTAATTTATTTCGTAGAGAGAAAAAAAATAATTTCCAATTTGTTGGGTTCAAATATTCAATTAATCGTAATATTTTTCAAATTTTCGTTTATTATATCGGATGGGGATTTAAAATTTCTCGTCTAGGCAGTTTGGAAAATTCGAAATTTTATATTCTAGTTTTACTTTAACTATAGGTTAGGTTAAGGCATGTACGGCTGCCGTTTACAGCCGTTCTCTAAGATATATTTGTCCATTGTGCTCATCCTTGATACTTGAAAAGAATGTGGAAAAGAGGAAAGATAGTGGAAATTTATAGAGTGTAGAAAACCTAACAAAGCTTAGGATATGCATACCGGATCTAGCATACCGGAATAGACACCAAGCTATTTCGGTATGCTAGATCCGAATGCTAGATTATCAATGGTCAACAGGATCTGTTGACCATATGTTGCCGATTGTCTCGCAGTAGCTCATACGGATTTTTCCAATAAAGGTTATATAGATCCCACAATCGATAGATTGGAGGAGCAAGCAAGCTCATCGGCTATCGCATTCCCTACTATGTTGCTAAGTTATGTTCCTTTAACTACTGACTTTTTTTTCAGGTGATTGGGAAAGGTGGCTACACAAATAACAAATTCGGTTTAATTATAGGTCCGGTCAAGTGTACCGAATTTTTTATTGGTGTATTTAAATTTTTAACATCTCTAAAGAGTCGTTAATCCGTGATCGTAAGCGGTATATTTAGAGGAAAACACGAATTTAATTTGAAAGTATATCTTAGAAATCAGCAACCCAGGGATAAATGTGGTAAACATTTTAAAACTATCCACAATCGGTGTACATAAATTTGACTTTTTTCATTATCTAATCCGAAATATCGGTTGTGGAAACTTCATGTTCCAAACTATCGACTTTCGGTACTAATGTGTTAAAAAGTGTAATTTCTTACATTATTAATTTGAGCCACGGTTAAATCCTGTAAAAAAATCAACATTTTGTCAAATATTAATTTGCAATGTTTTCAAATACAGATTAATAAACCAATTAAGCCAATTCCGTCTTTTATTAATGCATTCCTTATAGTTGACTTGGTCCCATTTTCGAGTCCGAGTTGTTAAAAAATCGGCTTGAAGTACTAAAGAGTTGCACCTAACCTTAGAATCAAAATATATGTTCCTCTTTTTACTTATTTTCCGGGGGTAAATATTAAGTAAATAACTTGCAATTTTTACATTATGAATTTGAGAAAATATTACTAAATTATGACAAGCATTCATTTGCAAAAAAAAAAAAAAAAAAAAAAAATCGAATAAAATTTGATCATATCTAACCAATTAAAGTAATCACACCTTTTGTCAAATCATTCGCTATAGTTGAATAGTTCCCATTTTCGACATTTCGGACATAAAAAATACTGTTTCTAATATATTTTCGTTCTGTGGGAGGAAAATAATCTTCCCTGCAAAAATATAAAAAAAATATGACAAATATTAATTTGCAATAATTTCGAATAAAAATTGATGATATATGCCTTCTGACAAAGCATTCGCTATAGTTGAATAGTTCCCATTTCCGAGATATCGGACATAGGGGTTTAAAAAATCGACATTCATTCATTAATGAGTTCCTGTTTCTAATATCTTTTCGTTCTGTGGGAGAATAATAATCTTCTCTGCAAAAAAATACAAAATTATGACAAGTATTAATATCCAATGATTTTGAATAAAAATCGATCAAATCTAACCAATTGAAGTAATTTCGTCATTTATCCATGCATTCACTATTGTAGGGAATTGGAAATTCTGCACAAACAAAATAATTTTGTTATCATTTTGTTTTCGCTGGCAAGTAAATTGGCTGGCTGTTGTTGTTCATTCAAATCACATATTAAATGACCAGAGAACTAATTTATTTTGCTTTCATTTCCCTCTACTGCTGGCAGTGTTGCTGCTGCTCTGCTGGATGATGGCCCCGGCCTGTCACTCAATTTACTGTGCTTTCTTTTTTTCTATTTACATATTTTGTTATTGTATTAATACTGCGAATGTGTGTTCTGGAAGGGGAATGTATTCCTCTCCCTCTTCTCCTTTAATCATTTTACAAAATTTTCTTTGCATTAATTGATTTCCAAAATTGTTCAAAAAAGGCATCTTAATTTGATGAAATATTGCTTGGCATTTTATGACGTAAGGATAAAGGCGGGCTAAATTTGTGACATCTATCAAAAAACAACAATTACACTGTTTGACGGCTGTCAACAAAAGTTCTTCTTATCTCTTCTTGAGATAGCAAAAGAGAGTGCATTATGAGTGTGTGTAATCAATGTACTTAAAGTGCCAATACGTCTTTTCATTGTCGCCTTTAAATAATTTCTTTGCTTTAAAAAATATTTTAATAAATTACCGTTAGTTACAAAAAAAAAATATATAAAAATTTAATAGAAAATAAATTCCTCTAAAAGGAAAAGTTACATAACCGCAAGTAATTTGCTGGCACCGACATAATATTCGCCAATATTCATTCTACCATTGACCTTCCCCACACACTCTCTTCTCCATGATTTAGTTTTTTTTTTTCAGTTATATGGAGAAATTAGATTTTATTAATAAACGTCGCCGTCTCTCAGCTCACTTATGCAACACACAGAGTACAACAACTAACACACACACATCCAAATGATTAAATTGTCAAAAATCAAATGATAGATCGGAATAAATAAAAAAGTTATTGCTACAACTTACCGGATTTAATGCATTTAACAGCTTCTTCGGGTGTTCCATTTGGTGGAACACGATTCAATGGATGCGAAATTTCATTGGCATAAGTATAGAAGCTGTTATTAAGGGCAGCTAACATTAATTTTGGCTGCTTTCCAGCACCGACAACACGTCTCAAGTTTTTTGTTAACATTGAAGCCATGTTTGTTGTTGTTACTATTCCTAAAAATTTATATTTTTCTAATCAGAACTTTGTAGAAGGTAAAACAAAAAAAAATAGAATTGGAATTTTTTTTTCAAGCAATAAAATTTGCCCGTTTTATTATTTTTTATTGTGTTGTTATTTTTTTCTTCCAATTGTTGTTGCTACAAATACTACTAACCGAAATTCTTTTTAGCACAACACCACCACTAAATAGGGAATTTGTTTATTTTTTATTTTCTTTTCGCAAAACACAACCACCACCCTACCGATAGACGGACAACTAGAAACTGTGCGGTTTTTGTGGCAGAACTGTGTGTGCCGGCGTTTTTTCCGCTCGACTCGTGGACGTTTTGCACAAAGAGAGAGACACAATGAAGGCGTAAAGCGTTAAACGGTAACCAAATGAAAGAAAAAAAGGAAAATAAATACTAATAAAACAATTAAAAGTAGCATATATAAGTGAAGACATAATATATAAACAATATATATTTTATTACTAATATAATTTGTTATTGTTAATATTTAAATATCTGCATGTGTCGCTCAGCGACATGATTTTGCAATACGTTATAAGGCACAAATTAGTACCTAACGTACAGTGACGTATCGCAAGTAAAGTAACGTGCAGTTAGTAACACATTAGATAATGGTTGGTTAGTGCAAACGTAACGCAATATTGTAAAGGTTTATAATTCCAGTTCACAATAACTGAAGTCAATTTATTGTGTGGATCGAAAAAAACTCAAATTTTAATTAAAAAATTGTTTATTTCACGACATTTAAAAGAAAATCACGAGTATTATAATTTTTGTTTCAATCCAGATAATTAAAAAAAGCTGGGTCAATTCAAAAACAAAGAACTTTTTGTTGCTGAAAAAAATAGTGATCAATTACATGACCGACTCCTGAGGCTCCTCATCTTATACCCTCCACCATAAGGTAAGTTTTGATCACTTTTAAGTCCTTTTGTAAATAATTTATTTGTGGATAAAGTCAAGTTATGGCCCGGGATGGTCTTTGAAAATGTTTTTCACAAAGACCCTGATTAAAATTTCTTGCGGAAATCTATACTTTTGGTGATAAACACAATAAACACAATTTTTTAGCATACTACTATAAAAAAAGGTAACAGCAAATCCGTTGCGTGGATTTATTAAAGAATATTTTTTCAAGGCCTACATAAGGCGTGTATATGTTAAAGACATTTTTTTCAGAGCCCTCACAAGATGGGGATTTATTAAAGAAAATTTTTTCAGAGCCTACATAAGGCGTGTATTTATTAAAGAAACATTTTTCAGTGCATACAAGGCGTGAATTTATTAAAGAATATATTTCAGAGCCCTTACAAGATGTGGATTTATTAAAGAATATTTTTTCTGGGCCTACAAAAGACTTAGATTTATTAAAGAATATTTTTTTTTGGGTTTTTCCAAATTAAAACACATTTCCAATTAATTATAAATTATTTATTTTATTTTATTGTGGATCTTCGGTCTTTTATTTTATTTTTTATTATTTTACGATGTTTATAAATATTAAATGACTATTTTATTTTATTTTTAATAATTATTTAAAAGCAGTACTAGAGTTGTATTTTTGTTGTTGTATTTGTATTATTTTACACTATTTATTAAAGTTTGTAATAGAAAAATGTGTGAAAATAGATTAACAATTAAGACATTATTGTGGTGTATTTTTTTGTTATATTAACAAATAAATAAAAACCTAAACATTTTATATATATAAATAATTAAATATATATATTACAACATTATAAACAAGTTATTTTTGTATATAATTGATTTTTTCTTATATAATTATATAAACAATGTAGAATTTGTTGAAATTTATTTTTCTTCAATTTACTACTAAATATTATTTAACATGCATATTTTATTAATTTTTTGTGTGGAGGGGGATGGTTGTTGTTTGGTGATTATTGTGAGGTGGAGATTGTTATTAAAAAACAATTTTATAAAAAATATGAATAAATGTAGATGATGGTTTCTGAAGAACCTAATATATTTGAGCAAATAAATTTTGAGAAATAATTCTGAAATAGTGAGAAAGAAAAAGCAAAGCAAAATGTCATGCCACTCTATTCTGAATAATATAGCACCTCTCATATACCTATGGCACACAGTCGCAGAGAAATTTACCTCCAAGGTAAGTAAATTGAAAATGGCTTTATTTTTAAATAATTAAATTTAATATATTTATTACAGTTTTCGAGCAACATCTGTGGACTCTGTTAACCTAAAATAAAGGATTTACCAATATGGACTTGGCAAAACGCAGGTGAGCAGTACTATTTTATTTAATATTGCGATGATATTTGAATTTGACTATTCTCATCTCATTTCAATCCAAATAATGGAGAAACGAGTCAACGTTGTTAATTTCAAACGGGTTGACCTTTTTTCCGCCCAATGAGAACTTAAAATACTAAATTTGGGTCTATATAAAGCGTGGATTTTTTAAAGAACTGGGAAGTATCTCAGGAATTGTCCTTTTCGGACCATCGACTGATATTTTTCCAGATTCCCAGCTCCGGAAGTAAAAAGAAGCCTTATTGGAATCCTCGGAAGACAAACTGGGACAAATTCAAAGCCAATACAGCATCCTCAAGCTGTGAACATTATCACGGCCACTCTTTTGAAGAGCTATAAGGCTTCAGGTCCTTTAATATACCCTGGGAAAAGATCTCAGCCTGTATGGTGGTCACAAAACCTTGCATCCTTGAGGAAGTCTGCAAGGAAAGCATACGATAGAGCTAGTAAGACAAAACTCAGAACAGAATGGGATGGGATGTTTATAGAGAACAGTTCAATAGGTACAAGAGTGAAATAAAGAAGGCTAAATGTGAATCATGAGTCTGCTATAGTGAGTCAATCGAAGGAGTTACGAATCGCAGAGTACTATCTAAAGATCCAAAATCTATAGGTAGTATTAAGCGAAGTGACAGAACATGGACAAACTCTGGTAGTGAGACTCTTGATCTTGTATCGTCAACCCACTTCCCTGGTTGTAAGGAGGATGTGCAGTGTGCGCATTAGCATATGGTTCGAACGAGGGAGGATAAGAAGCTGATAGAAAACACTATAAGCTATTCAACACTGGTATGAGCGATAAATGGTTTTCAACCCTATAAATCTCCAGGCCCAGATGATATAATACCGGCCATGCTGCAACGCGCAGATGAACGAGTATTAGCCTCTCAGCAAGACATTTTTAGGACTTGTCTACTTCTATCGTAGATACTTAGTTTATGGAAATAGGAAACAGTGACCTTCATCCCGAAAGCCGGTAAGCCGAGTCATACCCTGCCAAAGGACTATAGACCGATTAGCCTCCCTTCCTTTTTACTCAAGACTTTAGAAATGTTACTAGACTCAGAAATTAGAAATACTATTGATTCAAACCAAATTAGCAATTCCCAGGCAAATCAGTGGATACGGCCTTACATGAGGTGGTTGGACGCATTGAGAAGAATAAAGGAATAAAGGTTGAAGCCTATGCCGATGATGTAGTCTTGCTGGTTGGTGGGAAATTTCTATTGACAATTTCAGGTTTTATAGAGGGCGCCCTTTCAACTCGGCCTTGGTGTAAATCCCACTAAGACAGAATTGGTGCTCTTCACTAGGAAACGTAAGACCTTCTTAAACAGTTTATTAAAAGCGACCATGAAGAGGTCTATAAAGACGAACTTAAGGAGGTTTATGAATATGGCCTTGACTTTGCATCCTAAGGCAATATTTGTTTATTTTGAATTCGTTTGCAAGTGTGTACCGTACCTAATATTAAACCCTAAAACATTTTAAAATGGCACGAAATTAAATTATAAAATAGTTTACTGGCAATATTTTCATTATTTTTTATTTTTTTATTATAAAAAAAATTAATGTGATTTGAAAAACCAACAAGTTAACAAATTGTTTACAAAAACGAAACGAACTTATTTAAAAACCAAATTATATATATATATATATATATATATATCAAAATTTTGAACGTAATTTTTACAAAAAGGAAAATATTTTTTACCTAAAACTAAGCTGACTTTTTTCGATTTTTTTATTTATTTTTTTTAAGTGCACTCTTAAATAAAATTTTGAGAGTGGACTTATCACTACATTATTTTCGATTTTTTTCTATACTTGTTATTATTCTTATTATTTTTAAATATATATATTATTTCACTAATAAAACAATTATATTTTTTCATTTAAATTACCTACAAAATATTATAATTATTGGCGTTTTGTTTTATTTAAAAAAAGTTAATTAATTATTGTTAATAATAAATACTTAACAGCTAAATCAGTTGTTGGTAATTTTTTTGGTATTTCTTTCATTTTATTAATTTTAAATATTTTTTGTTATTTATTTTTCAATCCTTTTAGAATTTTGTAGTTGTTTCTTATATTATAATAAATATTTTGTGTTGTCTTTAAAGGGTTTTTTGTGTCAAATATATATAAAGAGAATAGTATAATATTTTTATTTATTTATAAAGGTATTTGAGGAGGAGGAGTATTTTCTACATTAGAATTTCGTAGTAGTAGGTTTTTGTTTTTACAAAAAATCTATATTTTTGTATTATAGAAATTATTTTTTATATTAGAAATATTGTGCATTATTTATTTTACCTATAGAAAAAAATTAGGATTTTTTTTGGAAAAATGGAGAGATTTTATACAACAAAAGATAGGGCGTTCTTATATAGGTCTATGAAGAAGAAATTAAATAAGGTGATAAGAAGGTCTATGAAGATGATACAAAATAGGGCTATAACGACGACCCAAACTAGGACTATAAAGACGACATAAACTAGAGCTAAAAATGTCGACCTAAATGAGGTTTAAGGTTTTATAAAACCTTAACAAGGTTTATAAAGACAGCCATAAGAAGGTCTATAAAGACGGCCTTAAGGATGTCTACAAAGACGACCTTTGGGAAGTCTATAAAGACGACCTTTGGAAAGTCTATAAAGTCGGTCTTAAAAAAGTCCATCCAAAAAAAAAATTTTCAGTGTCTATCCATGGCATGAATTTTTTAAAAAAATATTTTTCAGTGTCTATCCATGGCGTGAATTTTTTAAAAAATATTTTTCAGTGTCTATCCATGGCGTGAATTTTTTTAAAAAATGCTAACCTAAGCACGTCTTTAAAGTCATCTACTAAAGGTCTATGAATCTCCATGAAGCCAACCTCCATGAGATCTATAAAGTCGATTTTAAGAAGGTCTATAAAACAGCTTATGAAGATTGGAAGGACAATATAATGGACGCCTCTGTTAAGATGACATTAGGGTTGTTTTTATAAAATCTCTCCATTTGGACCTAAATATTATGTTTACGTTTTTTTTCACATTCTACAGTTTCTTGATTAATTTTAGTTGTTGTTCTACTTGTTATCATTTTTTTTTTGAAAAAAAAGAGAGAGCATTATCACTTAGAAGATTTTGAGAAATATTTTCATATCGTAGTTGTTGTTGTTATTTTGTCATTGTAGAAAAAAGAGATTTAGTGATTTAAATTAATTAGTATTTTTTTAATGTTTTTTTGTTTTTCTTCAGCATTTCAATTCATCTAATTGGTAATGTCATATTCATGCACAGATCATGATCACGGCGATCACCCCAACCGCCATTGCCTTTGCGCAATTTCGTCTTCTTTATCAGACTTGCCACCGTCAGCGTTAGAGATTTGGGGAAAATCTGGCCCGATTTGCGGGCAATGCGCAACACCTGTTGTACCTTCGAGATGACTTGATTCGATTCACAGTTTTTCTTTTTGTGATGGACGCCGCTGGGTGGGAAAAAGGGAAAATAATACACATATTAATAACAATTTTTTGTAATTATTTATTTTTATTTTATTACAGCTTACCATTCACCAATGTGAAACACCCTTGGACCCTTGACAATCATTGCATGCAGCTTCCGTTGCAAACATTGCTGGGAGACATGTTGCAGCGACCAATCCCAGTTGTAATCGTCATACGAACAAAAATGTTTTGCACACTTTCGTATGCTCGTCCAGGTAGTGCGATTAAAGGCAAAGCCCATATTGTGTTTACTGCTGATCCAGGGCATGACCTCAACCTTTTTGTAGTTTAAAAGAAATATATGTATTAAAAATTAAATTATAGTATTTATGTTAGAGTAATATATAAATAATTGTGTGTATTTCAACTGTGTATGCTAGCAATAATTATTTTTACTTTAATATATTGTTTTTAATTAATATATGTAAGTAATTGTAGTAGTATTAGTAATAGAAAAAACCTTAGGGAAGTTTAAAAATATAGTTAGTCAAACCAAAATCTAAATAGAAAACAAAACGAATATTAGCAAACTATATTAAAAAAATATATATATATATTTGTTAAAAGACTATATTAAATAATATTTGTATGTAAATACCATGCATGTTAAATAATTATTGTATTTTTGTTGGTAGAGGAAAAGGGTTTTGTTTTTCGTTTTTAAAAATGTTGAGGTATAGTTTTTGGTGATGTTACAAAAGATGGGGCTACCGTAAGGAGGTCTCTAAAGAAGAATTTCAATAGGTTAGACAATCCTAAGGAGGTTTAAAATATGACCTTAAGGTGTTACATAAAGATGACCTTGAGGAGGGCTATAAAAGCTCATTCGATAATCTATAGATACGACATTAAAGATCTTTATAAAAAGAGGTCTGTAAAAACAGCCTTAACCCGAGTTGTGCTAGCGTGACCCTATGGTCATACTCATAAGGCGATCAATAAATCATCTGGTGTGAACTACTGATAAACATACCCCTGACATCAATGTCATTTGTGAGTTGCAATTGATTCTGTCGATTATCCTGATAAGAAAAAAGTTGCAAATCAAATTTTTGGATTCAGTGACCCACAATCTAGAGACGCTGAAAATTTCATCCCAAAAGTCGAATAAAATAATTACGCAACTATTCGGGTTAATGACGACTATAAACATGACTTCAGACAGGTCATAATACCGTCTAAAGGAGGTGCAGAAAGATACCTTCTTAAGGAGATCTATAAAATGATCTAAACTTGGGCTATAAAGACCTTGTGGAGGCCTATAAAAATATCATTAAGGAGGTCTATAAAAACGATCTTAATGAGGACTATAAAGACGACTTTAGAGAGGTCATTATACCATATTAGGGAGGTGTAAAAATTCAACCTTAGGGATGTCTATAATATCATTTTAAGGAGATATATAAAGGCGATTTAAACTAGGGCTATAAAAACGACCTTAAGGAATTTTTAGAAATGTCCTTAAGAAGGTCTATAAGGACGATCTTAAGGAATTTTAAAAATACGACCATAAGGAAATTCTTAAAGATGTTCTTTAGGATTAAGGAGTTCTGAGGGTGTCTATGCAAAAAATCTTCCGGATAATAAGAAAATATTGGAAAATCAAATCATATTCCGGAGGACAAATAAATGCTTTTAAGGAGGTTTCTAAAGACGACTTTAAGGAGGTCTATAAAGACGACCTTAGAGGGGTCTATAAAAACGACATTAAGATGGCCTATAAAGACAATTTTAAGGAATTCTCTAAAGGCGACTTTAAAATGTTTTATAAACACGACATTCAGGAGTTCTATAAACCCAATATTAAGGTGATTTTTAAAGACCACTTTATAGGGGACAATGAAACGATCTTAAGGAGGTCTATATAGATGTATTTAAAGAACGATTAGACGTCGATTTTTTAAAGAAACATTAAAAGAATAAAACCAAAAATACTTTTTAGCGAATATTTTTTGCAGGGTCCATAAATGGCGTTGGTTTCTTTAAGGAAATTTTTAGGTTCTGTATAAGGTGTGAAGTTTTTATAAAGAATTTTTTCAGGGCCTACACAATGCGGTAATTTTTTTAAGAACATTTTTCAAGCGTGGATTCTTTTAAGAATGTTATTCAAGATCTATTAAAAGATTGGATTTTTTAAATAATAATTTTTCATGTGATCTATATAAAAGCCATTTTTGAGCCCTAAAAAAATATTTTTTCAGGTGTGAGCCCTGAAAAAAATATATCTTTAAATCCACGCCTTGTGTGAGCCCTGAAAAAAATATTCTTTAAAAATCCACGCCTTGTGTGAGCCCTGAAAAATATTCTTTAATCCATCCACGCCTTGTGTGAGCCCTGAAAAAAATATTCTTTAATCCATCCACGCCTTGTGTGAGCCCTGAAAAAAATATTCTTTAATCCATCCACGCCTTGTGTGAGCCCTGAAAAAAATATTCTTTAATCCATCCACGCCTTGTGTGAGCCCTGAAAAAATATTCTTTAATAAATCCACGCCTTGTGTAGGCCCTGAAAAAATATTCTTTAATAAATCCACGCCTTGTGTAGGCCCTGAAAAAATATTCTTTAATAAATCCACGCCTTGTGTAGGCCCTGAAAAAATATTCTTTAATAAATCCACGCCTTGTGTAGGCCCTGAAAAAATATTCTTTAATAAATCCACGCCTTGTGTGAGCCCTGAAAAAATATTCTTTAATAAATCCACGCCTTATGTAGGCCCTGAAAAAATATTCTTTAATAAATCCACGCCTTGTATAGACCCTGAAAAAAATATTCTTTAATCCATCCACGCCTTGTGTAGGCCCTGCTAAAAATATTCTTTAACCCACGCCTTTTGTAGACCCTAAAAATATTCTTTAATCCACGCCTTGTGTAGGCCCTGAAAAAATATTCTTTAATCCACGCCTTGTGTAGGCCCTGAAAAAATATTCTTTAATCCACGCCTTGTGTAGGCCCTGAAAAAATATTCTTTAATCCACGCCTTGTGTATGCCCTGAACAAATAATCTTTAATCCACGCCTTGTGTATGCCCTGAAAAAAATATTCTTTAATCCATCCACGCCTTGTGTGAGCCCTGAAAAAAATATTCTTTAATCCATCCACGCCTTGTGTATGCCCTGAAAAAAATATTCTTTAATCTTTGTGTGAATAAATCCACGCCTTGTGTGAGCCCTGAAAAAAATATTCTTTAATCCATCCACGCCTTGTGTGAGCCCTGAAAAAAATATTCTTTAATCCATCCATGCCTTGTGTGAGCCCTGAAAAAATATTCTTTAATAAATCCACGCCTTATGTAGGCCCTGAAAAAATATTCTTTAATCCATCCACGCCTTGTGTAGACCCTGAAAAAATATTCTTTAATAAATCCACGCCTTGTGTGAGCCCTGAAAAAATATTCTTTAATAAATCCACGCCTTATGTAGGCCCTGAAAAAATATTCTTTAATAAATCCACGCCTTGTATAGACCCTGAAAAAAATATTCTTTAATCCATCCACGCCTTGTGTAGACCCTGAAAAAATATTCTTTAATAAATCCACGCCTTATGTAGGCCCTGAAAAATATTCTTTAATAAATCCACGCCTTGTATAGACCCTGAAAAAATATTCCTTAATAAATCCACGCCTCAGTTGGCCCTTGAAAAATATTCTTTAATAAATCCACGCCTCAGTTGGCCCTTGAAAAATATTCATTAATAAATCCACGCCTTGTGTAGGCCCTGAAACAAATATTCTTTAGAAAATCCACGCCTGAAAATCTATTCTTTAGAAAATCCACGCCTGAAAATCTATTCTTTAAAAAATCCACACCTTGTATAGTGACTGAAAAAATATTCTTTAATAAATCCCAGTCCTGGGGTATTATGAGAGTTTGAATGGAAAAAAACATTGTAAATTACATGGTAGTTCAGACCATTTTCTCTAATAATGATTACAGGGTGACAATTTACCACTGATGATTCGTGTCTATGCTACAAACATATACAGCGTCATTTAGTCACAATTGTCTGATGTAATTTGATATGATGTTAATCGATTTGTCATAAATGTCCTACTCACGTTTTGTGTACACGTGAAATATATTGCATACGGAAACCAAATTTTTAATTATTTTACCTGAACTTCTGCAATCTCCTATCGACTTAGCGCATAATTTAATTTTATTTCATGACTCATATTAATTTTTCTATAATTAATTTAATAGCCTATAATTAATTGTCATTTGTATATATAAATTTGTTTTTTTTTCTTGTATTTAACTAATAGTTTAACATCTATCAAATAAGCTAAACTAATTTGTTAAACTTGACCTTTTAGGCTAAATGTTTTCGTCAACTAATCATTGCAATTAAATACATTTCATTTGAAATTATTTCTTATTTTTCTTTATCTGAGGCGGATTGGTGCATTATTTTTTGGGTGGTGGGAGCAGGTGGCGAAACTGGTCTACGACATCGAACGTCACTTTTTTTATATAAATACCTCACGAAATTTTTCCGTATTAAATAGTGGCGTTTTGGCACGTTTCGATGTACGATGAGTAATCTGTGTTTCATTTTTCAAGAAAGTGTGTGTGTGTCAAAGAGATTATTCGATGCAAATGTTGGAGGGGTAGGGGAGAAAATATTGAGAAAAATATTTCATATCAAAAATATACATACAAACATTCTCAAATACATTTATCAAATATAAATTCAATACAATACAGTACATCATGCTAATTTTTTTTAAAAATCTCTCAGAATATGATACATAAAAGAGAGTAAGGGGGTGAGTAGTACAACTCTCATTTATCACAATTAGCAATCAGGCTGTATGCAATCAAACCATAATTCGAATTTGAATGCAATCATATTTAATTTAATCTAGGCAACGACTTCACATTCACGTACGCAAACCGCAACGAAAAACATCAACAATTATACGCGATTTATAGATAAAATAAAACAATTCTACAAAATGTATAGCAAATAGTTTCGAAAATAAATTGAATATTGTCCATATGATGAATGAATGAAAGAATTGAATGGCTAGATGATGGAGTGAATGGATTGCGGAATGAATGAATATCTGTGACTGGCAAATTACAATTAGTACTACAACTACTGTTGTTGTTGGAATATATTTATTTGGTTGTATACATGATTGGTGATTGATGAGAAAAATTCATGCAAATGTCATTTCTGACCATTAGTCAGCTACAGGTGTGGGTATTTGAGGGTCAGACTATATCAAATTATCAATGAAATATATTTAGAAAAAACCAAGCCTTGTTAAGCCCC